CCCTCCCTTGGCCCCCCCCCCCCCTGCCAGTCCCCTCGGCTGCCTGGACACCTCAGCAGCCAGGCACAGGATTGCCATAAACCCCCGGAAACAGAAAGGCTTTACCAACAAGAATCAGCAAACCCCCCAGGTAAGTGGAAAAGAATCACTGTGCAGAAGGAAATGGATGTGAATTTTTAATTATTATTTTAAATATTTTAATTTTTTTTCTTTCCTACCCACATTCCTTTGGGTTTTTTTATTCTTCCATTGGAAGAAGGGAAACCACCTATTTTTTTCACCAACCAAAAAAGACTTGGAAAACTTCAGTATCATGGCAGCTGAAGAAAAGTGCAACTTCGGTTTTTCATTATTTAGCCAAAAAAGTTACGGGTTACACTTAATTTGTAAAAACATCCCTGCTGTTTGAAAAGCTAGTTTTCAGTTTTAAAGAAGCCTAAGTCTATTTCTACAAACAATTTCAGATTAACTTTAACTTAATTCTTCGTATTTCAAAGGAAAGACTGAAGGACTTTGGGAGGTAATGTGGCTCTGCCTGTGGATAAATTAGGATGAGATGATTCTCATCCTGGCTTCTAGGAAACACAGTGTGAAGATGAAGGTCACCAGATAGAAAAGGTTGTTGAGCTGGAGTGTAACAGAAATAAGGAGTAATGGTTCTCTACTGTGTGTTCCCCTCTCCATCAAAGAATCATGCATGAAAATCTGCCCTGGAGTTAGAAGTGCCCTGCTCTGAGAAAGAGAGGATGGGAGCAGAAATTCAGGATGAGTGTAATACGGAATGAGGTTTTCTTGGAAACACGGGCCCTACAGCATCTTTGCTGGATATTCTTTGTGCTGCAGCTGGTACAACTGCAGTACTGAAGGAGAAAAGCTAATTGTGGAGTGTCAGTTGGAGATACCAGAAGTGATGCTGATATCTCTGGCTTGGTTTGTTCTATGCCACCATGTAGCTTGAGTGATGTCTTAAAAACATACTTGTTCACTCAGAATACGTCAATCGCAGAATGTTTCAGATACAAGAGAGGTCTATGGGCTGCCTTTGACATTTTAAACATGAGTGATTTCTAGGTTCTTAACTGAAATAGTTTCTTACCCTCAGTGTTGGTAAATTACAGGATGCGGGTGTGTCTATGTTTTGAGTATTTGTAAACGTGTGTCTATAAAATACATTTTTTTTTCACATTATTCTTTAATTAAAAGATCTTACTGCACCTCATTAGGTGGAAGAGCTGGAAAATGAATCATGTCTTCCTGCAACTCCACAAAAGAAGGGAAATTCAACAGAATCACTTGAGAGTGACCAGCATAAAAATGATTGGGAAGGTAACGAAGACTTATGTATTGCTTCTTTGGGTGCTTGAACTCTTCTACATAAGGCTTGCAGGATCTATTTGAATTGTAAGTCCTTTCAAACTAGCCATCTTTTGGTTTTATATCATAAAACCAATCCTGGCTGCTAAAGTGTTATGATGGAAAAAATCATTTACTTCTCTCAAAACAGTGATGCTGAAATGGTGAACTTTGAGGGCAGCATTAAAAAATACATGAGGTGAAAGTACCATCTTCAGAGGTACCTGTGCTACACAGTTGGCTAGATCTTATTGACTGGGGACCCAAGTTTCTCTAAACTCAGGAAAACCTTAACCTCAGGTTTATATCTGTTATGTGTGTAAGGTGAATTTAATTGGCTGGTGTTTACTAGATCTTCCTTTGCCACCTCCCCCCTTATCATTTGAATAATAGGTAACTGCCAGTGGTAACATGATTGTAATTGTAAATTGTAAAAATAAATGAAATTTCTCCAAAACAGCACCGAAAAGTTTTCTCTTTAGCGCTGCATTACAAATGCACTGACTGATGGTAATGCTCTGGTGTAGTGGGACCGTTGGCAGTTTGTTGTCAGAGCCAGAAGCTAATGCTGTTACACATCAGAGTTACTGTGTGTGCAGACACATCTAAGCTATCCAGATGTTCAGCAACCCTGCTGGAGCTGCAGGAGGCAGAGCTACTTGATGCTGAGATCTTCTGCTTAAATACAGAAAATCCTCCAGATCATTCTAGCCAGCCCTTCTAGGCATACACATGAAGAAATGCCTAGGGAAATCTGGCTAGTAGTCTTACAACTAGGGATATTCACAGAAAACAACTAAACAGCAATTGGTTTGGTACACCTTAAGCAGACAACAATTTTCAGTCATTCCTGGGATTAGGTATGTTCAGACTAAAAACTTGGAGTCTCCTCAATTGGACAGCCCATTTCTAAATACGCTTTTAATACCCTTATTTAGCTGATAATGATGCTCAGACAAGGGGAATTCATGCTAAATGACTGCAATATCTGGAATGAATTACTGATACAGATGGTGCTTGAATTGTAATCTTTAAGTTACACACTCTTCTCTGTTTAATACAGGATTATCAGCTCAGGTGGAATATTGTGCAAAGGGAGGTGGTTCTAAGGAGACACCAAGTATAAAAAGTCCCACTGATGCTGCCCATGACTCTTGTGATTCCACACTTGCAGCAGAAGACTCTTGTGCTTTGCCGCAAGAGGATGCATGCCTTCCAGACATGGACCATCACTATAAAGCAGCTGCACCCCTTCTGAGACCTGAGCCTTCTGCAGTGAACCTTGAGGAACACCATAGTGCAAAAGTGTCGTACTGTTCAGATGAGTCATCTGATGAATTGAAATTACATCAGCAAAATACCAATACTGTAGTATCTGCACTTCCAAAATTGCAACAAATTGAAGGAGAAACTGTTGTGTTTCCAGACATACTAGCAGCTGACTTGTTTAGCAATGGTGTGGAAACAGAGGGCATAGATATATTGGCAGATGTTGCACAAAGGTCCTCAGTAAATTCTGTAGATCCAGACATTCAAGACCAGGAAAAGGGAGATCCACTGTTTATTGGCAAAGTAGAAGCCTGCTTGGGTACTATTGAGAATCATTCCAACCATGCTGCCTCAGATACTCCACCAAGCACCTCACAGGTTGCAGCAGCCAATTCAGAGTTGTCTTCTGACATCAAGACAGTGGCTGTTTTGAAGCCTAAAAACAGTTCAGTAACAAGAAATGACAAAGAAACTTGTGAAATAATGGAATTTCAGTCATCCAAAGGCAATGTAGAAAAAAAAATAGACACTGCTGCATCTGTCTCAGAAGCAGGTTGCATGCTACCTCCCAGTAAATTGGAAGTATGTTTTAAAGCAGAAACTGTTTCTGTTTCGAAGGGTAACCAAGGCAGTCAACAGGCCCACGCATCATACATTTCTGAAAAACTTTCCATTGGATGTCTTGCCTCTTCAAGTTTGGCTGGCTTGAAGAGTAATATCTCATCTGATGATGACGGTAAGGAGTACCAGATAAGCAGTACAGCTTCTCACAGAAAAACAGTGGAAGACAGTCAATCTTCAGATGAAAATGTGAAAAGTCCACTGAAGACTGCTTCTGCTAAACCAGTCAGATTTACCATTGCACCAGCATGGCAAAGATCTCTCTCAGGGGGGTCAAATTCAAAGGAAGATTCCTATACCAGAAGCTCCCCAACGTCCCCTATAAGACCAGAGTTGTTTGAAGGAATGACAAAAGAACACACACGTTTTGATGCAGTCATCCAGGAATCAGCAAAAACCAACTCAGATAGATTTGATCGAGATTGTAAGGACAGTGATTTGCATTTGAATTCTTCTATGGAGTGGGCTGACCATGAAGCACAAAATGTTGAAAACCCATTTGGGGTTAGACTGAGGAGAACATCCTCTTTACTAAAATACCAGAATGAAAGCCGTGCTGAGACTCCAAAGCTGATCCCCTCAGCTGTTCCCACTGTTGCTTCTGCTTCAGTCAAGGAGGATCAGAAATTGGTGGGCACTGGGAAACCACCTCCAGGACTTCCTGTCAGCACAAAATCATTTGTTAAAAAAACAGATCTCCTAGAAGACAAAAATCCTCCCAAGACAAGATCAGAAGAAATGGCAAAGAAGCAAAATGGTCATAAACCTTCAGGTATTTATGCTGTATTTTAATCCAAACATTGTAGAAAACTGGTTGTGTAAGAACCTTGGCAGAGTGGCAAACAAGAGATAAAAATCCTCTTGACAAGGACCAAATTCAGCCTTGAATTCGTCAGTACCATAGTTTAATTGGCTTGCTGATTTGGCTAGTCAAGCGAATTCTTGGTTTATCTTAATGAGGGGTGTGTTCAGCAAGAATAACAACAGAGTAATAGCTTAAGGGCCTCTGAAACATTTCTGGTGCGACCTACTTGTGCATATCACTGAAGTTTTAACACAGTTTTTTATAACTTGCTGCTGTTTTGTAATTTTCCAGACTGCAGCAGCTCAAATCTTAACTAGGAGTTACATTAGGTGTGATTATTTTTTTTCCTACAATCACTTAATTTAAAATATTTAAAAAGTGAAAAGGCAGCCTGTGTTTTACTACCTCCATGAAAAAATAGTGGTTATCATACTCATTTAATCTGCAGTGTAAGGATGTTATTTCAAAGGCAAAATCCGGTTCACAGTGATTGCAGTGGGAGTTCTGCCATTGACTTAAACGGAAGCGGAGTCAGGTCAAAAACTCCAGAATAAACAGAAAAACAGTTATTGCCAAGGACAAAATCATCAGGGAAGGTAATCTTATGTCCAGAGTGTTCAAAGGGTATTACAGATGCTGAAGGATTTAAAACACACTAGCTTTAGACTGACTTGACCTAAATCCCTTCTTTACTTCAAAAATGCTTCTGCTGCATCCAGCTCTGGGGTCCCCAGTACAAGAAAGACATGGAGCTGTTGGAGCGAGTCCAGAGGAGGCCATGAAGGTGATCAGAGGGCTGGAGCACCTCTCATATCAGGAGAGGCTGAGAGAGTTGGGATTGTTCAGCCTGGAGAAGAGAAGGCTCTGGGGAGACCTTAGAGCAGCCTTCCAGTCCCTAAAGGGGCCTACAGGAAAGCTGGAGAGGGACTGTTTACAAGGGCATGGAGTGATAGGAGAAGGGTTAATGGTTTTAAACTGAGAGAGGGTAGATTTAGATTAGATATTAGGAAGAAATTCTTCCCTGTGAGGGTGGTGAGACACTGGAACAGGTTGCCCAGAGAAGCTGTGGATGCCCCATCCCTGGAAGTGTTCAATTCCCGGTTGGATGGGGCTTTGGGCAACGTGGTCTAGTGGAGGGTGCCCCTGCCCATGGCAGGAGGGGTTGGAACTAGATGAGCTTTGAGGTCCCTTCCAACCCAAACCATTCTATGATTCTTTTGTAGAAAAAGTCCCCTCTCCACATTTGGAAACTGCTTCCTCTGAACCAGCTTGGATCTCCATGGCAAAATTAAAACAAAAGGGTTTCCAGGACCACCCTCTTGCCAAAGGACATAAAGCTGAACACAAAGCTTTGACCAAAGTGGATCAAGAGGAGGTAGAGTATCAAGTAATGTTGCATGGCTGTGAATTCTGCACCAGATTGCCTGGGTACTTCTGCAAACTGTTGAATATCATCTTCATTGGAGGTGTATTGTGAGCACTACTCAAAGAGAGACTTTCAGGACTGGTCTCTAAAGTGTGTTGGGACAGACAACTGATGCAAGTGAGCAAACACATGTGTGACTATACTGTCACAGTGATTAGTTTCAGAGCTGGATCCTCCTATATGTTCCTTTGCACTACTCAAACCTGAACTTTTTCAGAGTTTGCCTATTGCCCAGAATGTATTTATGTAGCCCAAGAGCTGCTTTGAATTGCACTAGCTTCCTCGCTGTTAGTGACCTGCAGACCACATTCACTGCTCTGGTCTGGAGACTGCGTACTGAAAGTTTGGCTTTTCCACTGACTCTTGCACAAGTTTCTTGTGCAGCTTGGGCAAGATCTTCAATTCCCCATCCGTAAGAGAGAGAGGATAACTTGCCTGCATTGAAGTAACCCTGTATTTGTAGCAACTGTCTTCCTTCTTGCCTTCTCCCTCCCTCCTACAGGATGTCCCTAACCATCGTTGTCTGGCTTGTGCTGTGTTTCCACAGTCAGGTTTAGAGATATTGCCAGGGCGAGTTTCATGGGTGCCAGTAGCTAGCAGGTTTCTTAGTTGCATTCTTTTCTTCTCTCCCCCTTTTGTAGCAAGGGATCTGTGCTAGTGAGAACATACCGAAGAAGAATCTGCCTTCCAGCTTGAGCTCTCAGGACAAGAAAACCCAAATGAAGACCAGTGTGTCTGCTGCAGCAGGTATTCTCTTTCTTTACATCTTTACGTAGTAGCTACAGTTTACGCCAGTAAGTGGTATGGGTGGCAGGTAATGGGAGGAGATAGTTACCTTTTTGATAATCAGCACACTTTATATGAGGCCTGTTCAGACTATAGTTTGTGTATAAGTCAACATATTGGCTTGCTCACCCATGAAAGAAAGGAAATGAGGAACTTTTATCCCCACTGCCAGTTCATGAAATGGCATATAAACAGTATGGTGATTTATTACTAGCAAATGTCAGTAGTAAAGAATAGCAGTTGAAGTTGGAGAGTGTCCAGAGGAGAGCAGCAAAAAAGGTCAGGTCCTCTGGACCTCCAGTCAGCCAGGAAATACTGATGGGAGTGGAGTTGTTTAGTCTAGAGAAGACAATTTAATTTGCTGCAGAGGACAAGACTAGTCTTTATGCCCTGTATGAGCTTAAAATGCATCAGGAGAGGTTTAGCTTAGATATTAGGAAATACTTTCTAACAATAAGAGTGGTGAAGTGTGGAATAGCATAGGTTGCTTACAGAGTGTACAGTTTCCATTGCTGGATGTGTTTAATAGATAAACATGTCTCAAGAACAATTTAGGTAGAGTCAGTTCCACTCTCAGGTGAACATAGAAGCTTGATGCCCCCTCTCCCGCCCTGTTAGCTGTGATTTTCTGTAAGATGCAGGGGAAGAATGTGACTCAGACATCGTGACTCACAAACCTCTTCCAAGGCTACTGCTGGGCTGCAGCTTCTCCCTCCCTGCTTACTCAGTGTGGTGCCAAACCTCAGAGACATGCTCCAGCTAGATATAGATAAGCCAGTTCTTCAGCTGTGAAAGCATATTGTGCTAGCTGAAAGCTATTGATTTCAGATACTGCCTAAGAAGATAAGAAATGCCCCACTGTGTCAGAGCAGTGGCTTTTCTATTCCAGGTTCCTGTTGCTGACACGGTCAGTAAGGGATGCTGTCTAGAGAGAGTGCATGCATCTGGCCACTTTCCCCTTAGAATCCACCAGCATCCAGAATTGTTTTATTAGAGATATTAGGGGGTACTTCTGTGCCTGCTCCCTGTAGTAGCTTTTTATAGATCTGTTCCCTGTTTTTTGAGTCTACAGGTCCTACAAAATAAGCTTTCTCCCTTACTACAGGTAGCTGACCAGCTGAGGATATGCACCAACACAGAGGTTCTGATGCCAATTGCCAGCCTTACTCTGTGTGTGTGATCAAAATACAATAGTTTTTAGAAAGGATTGTGTTACAGGCCAGCTTCGTCTTATGGTTGTAGGTGCAAAGTGAGAGATGAAAAGTATACAGGCCAAGATTTTTGCTCAGATTAGAAGGTCTTCCTTTGAAAGGCTGGCACGGACAGAGTGGATTTCTGTCTGTTGAATTAGCTAAACCTTGGAAGCCCAGCAGTCTTCAGTCAAAATTCAGAACTCCACAAATTGCTACTTGTTTACTAGAATTTATACCACTTGCGGTCCTTGCAGCAGAATTACAAGTTTTTCTGCATCACCTCTTCCCAAGAATTGGCCTAGTTTCCTGACATCCAGCTGCTTCCCCCCCGCTTCCAGGGACAGCATTTATAGGCATATTCTAGTCTTCCACTCCTTGAGTATCACACAGAGATCTGACCAGTGCTGATGTTTAAGGAAAACACTACTCTACTGCTCAGAAAACCATGCCCTATTGTTTAGGAAATGTTCATCACTGTCAGCACACAAGTAGGAGATCGGGAATCCCATATGTAATCTCTTATTTGGTTTCCATTAGCACAGCCAGCAATTTGTCTAGTTGAAGGTGCTCATGGTGGAAAGGATGTAGATTTAATATCCAGAGGAGTTATTAATTTGAATCATGCTTATGTTAACTGTTAGCAATTTTCTTCCTGGATGGTTGAGGTTTTCTGTGCAATGCATACATCCTGCACACAACAGCAAGAGCCAGGACAGCTCAAGGTCAGCTAAATTTGGAACAGAATTCCGAGAAATCAGATCCTGACTTTACTGAGTGTGACTTTTTTTGTTACTGCTGCGTGGCAGCCCATGTCATAACCAAGGGCAGACTACTTAGCTTGCCTCTTCTCTTTCCCTCTTAACCCTAAGCATGGTGAGGTTTGTTCCAAAGCCTTAAATTCCTACGTCACCTTAGATACTTCTGAAAAATTTGCTGTGTAGGTAGACCTGCAGTCTGTTTTTAATTGATATTATACTTCCTCCAGTATTTCTAAGCATAGCTTGCCTCCTGCAAGAACTACCAATGCACCAGGATTTTTAAAAGACCAGAGACCTCCTGAGTGGAGTGACTGATGGAGCTGATAGACGTTTTCCATTGATTTCAGTGCGAGCAAGATCAAGCTTCCTGTACTTAACATTGCTTAAGTCCCCATGTGGCCTCTGTTCTTGTGCTGGAGCACAGCAGCCTCATCGTGCCTGCCACATGCCACACACAGACTAATCAAGTGTGAGGAAAAAGTTTGAATTTTCTCAGTTTGACTTACAGAAATGAAGTACTGCCTGGGTTGAAATGGATGGAGAGAGCACAATGTTCAAAGACTTGTGAGCCATGTCTCGAGAAATGAGAGCTGTATCTGTTCAGAGCTGCTTTCTGTGAAGCCCCATGCCAGGCTGTATGTCTGATGACATTAATCTTGAAAATTTTCAAACAAGATGGATGGAGATAGCCTTTTCTAAGTAGTAACTCAAAGCCAGACAAGGAGTGTTATCTGTGTTCCTCCATCCTTTGTGAAGGTGACAGGCTTGTGTTAGGCTGCAGGAAGAGGAACACCTAGCCCCACCAGAATCCCACCTTCTTGGTTTACAACAAGAACATAAAGCACTGGTTTGATCCCTACCTAGTATTTAATAATATTGCTGAGCAATTGTTGTGCCGGCAGTGAAGACTGAAAAAATATCTTTAAGACTTCTCAGTGTTGAAAAACATTACTTTTAATCCCGCAGCAAGTCTGGGGTGATCCTTGCCCTGCAGATATTTTGTTTCCATTTTCCTGCATACTCAGGAGTCTTATTCCTAGATTTTCATGCACTCGCAGAGCAGAATAAGCCTGTGGAACTCCTTGCTGTGCACTGTCATGGAAATTCAGAGTTAGAAAACATTAAGAAATGAGTTAGCCAAGAATTTGAATTATAAAAATACCTGGGGCTATAGTCTCCACGTGCTTGAAGAATTTTGAAGAGCTTCTTCATTTATCAGGGCTTAGACACTTGCTGTTGGGACTGAGGAGAAGATTCTTTTATGGGAAGATTATTCACTAACAGTTTAGTATCAATTTTTCCATTGCAATAGCTAGTTCTCGCCATTGTTGTAGCTGGACCAGATAGTGCTAGCGATACCCAGTTTAACAATTCCTCTGACTTATTTTTGAGTCGCAAACATTCTGGGCTGTAAAACAATTGCTTTAGAGAGAAGGAAGTATTATTGGCAGAAAGTGAGTTTTTAACTCTGTAGCCTTCTGACGTATGATGGATATCTTGTTGTTGGCAGATAAAGTTGGACCTATTGCTCAGGAAGCATCTGT